GCTTTGACCTCGCCCAGCGGCACTTTCTCGCCAGCTCCAAGCCTCTTTGTGCCCTGCAGATGCGCAAGAACCTGCTGCACTGGGACGAGGCGCTGGCCCTGGCGCGGCACCTCGCCCCCACCGAGACACCCGCCATCTGTCGACAGCTGGCGCAGCACCAGGAGTATGGCGCACAGTACCGGGCGGCGCTGGAAAATTTCGAATCTGCCCTGCAGAACTTTTCAGAAAGCTCTTCCTCCTCAACCTCCTCCTCCAAACACATCCTCCTCTGCCAGGGAGGCATCGCCCGGAACGCCATCCGCTGCGGCGACGTCAAACGAGGCCTCCAGGTACTTTCCACCACCTCCCTGGACCCAGTTCGGGACGTCGACGTCTTCACCGAGTGTGCTTCCATTCTTCAACAACTTAAACATCACCAGGAAGCGGCGGGCCTGTACGAACGCGTTGGCCAGTTCAACACCGCCGCCTCGCTGTACCTGAAGGCGAAGAACACCGCCAAGCTGAACGCCCTTCTGCCGAACATCGACGACCCGGAAATACTGACGGAGCTGGCGAGGAGCAAGGAGGCGAACCGGGCCTTTCGCCCCGCTTTGGACATCTACGCCAAGGCGGGCCAGTGGCTGGACGTGGTTCGCCTCCACCTGGACCACCTCAACAGCCCCGGCGAGGCGGTGAAGGTGGTCCGGGANCAACACCGCCGCCTCGCTGTACCTGAAGGCGAAGAACACCGCCAAGCTGAACGCCCTTCTGCCGAACATCGACGACCCGGAAATACTGACGGAGCTGGCGAGGAGCAAGGAGGCGAACCGGGCCTTTCGCCCCGCTTTGGACATCTACGCCAAGGCGGGCCAGTGGCTGGACGTGGTTCGCCTCCACCTGGACCACCTCAACAGCCCCGGCGAGGCGGTGAAGGTGGTCCGGGAACGACGGTCGGTGGAGGGCGCCAAGCTGATTGCCAAGTACTTTCAGCGAAGGGGAGACACGACCACAGCTATTGAATTTCTGGTGCTGAGCAAGTGCACCGACGACGCGTACAACCTCGCCAAGACGACCAACGCCATGGACACCTACGCGGACATTCTCGAGGACCTGGGCGACCGGAATGCGCCCGCCAGTGCCGCCGACTTTCGCACCATTGCCATCTACTACGAGCAGCAGCAGCAGGACGGAGGAAGTTCAAAAGGCCAGCACCTCCTTAAGGCGGGCAAGTTTTACGTGCTTGCAAAACTGTACAAAAAGGGCGTCAAACTGTTGCTGCAGGCGGCGGCCGCAGCTTCCGCTTCACCGGAAGAGGAAGCGGACGCCCTGGAGCTGGCCATTGAGGCGGCGGCCGCTGCGAGAGATGAGCAGATTACCCGACTGGTATTAGACTTTCTCATGGGAGAAAGTGACATTGGTAATGGAGGTAATGGAGGCAACGGAAGTAACGGAGGAGGAGGCGTGGGGGACGGCCTTCCGAAGGACTTCAAGTACCTCTTCAAGCTGTACATGAAGATGGAGTACTACAAGGAGGCGGCCAAGACGGCGGTCATCATCAGCCGGGAGGAGCAGGCGCAGGGCAACTACCGAAACGCCCACCAGCTGCTTTTTGGCATGTGCTCAGAGCTGAGGCGGCACGGCATTGCCATTCCCCCGGAGATGACCGACGGACTGCTGCTGGTGCACAGTTATATGCTGGCAAAGGTAAAACATTTTTTAGATTTTGTTTTGTTTACCAATTTCCCTCTTTTCAGCTGTGGATCAGAGCCGGCAACCACAAAAATAGCGTCAAGCTGCTGCTGCGAGTGGGTGATAATATTGGCCAGTTTCCGGCTCGTAAGTTTTAGTTTTTTGTGATTTTTTTGTATCTCAAACCTTCCTTTTTACCTTCCCAGACGCCACCCAAATCCTCACCACTCTGGTGATCGAGTGCCAGCGGGCGGGCTACCCGAAGACGGCCCTCAAGTACGCCCAGCTGCTGATGAAGCCGGAGAGTCGGGAGAAGGTGGACGCCAAGTTCCGCCGCAAGATTGAGACGCTGGTGCGCAAGTCGGCCGGCGTGGTGGTCACCCCGGAGGAGCTGGACAAGGAGGTCGCCCCCCAGGCGACGCCCTGTCCCCACTGCAGCTCGCCGGTGGCGGAAGACCGCTTCACCTGCTTCAGCTGCAATGGTCAGCTTCCGTTTTGCCTCGCCTCGGGCATGCACGTCCTAAGGGAGGACCTAACGCAGTGTCCCGCCTGTCGCTTTCCCGCCATCATGTCCGCCCTGCTCAGTCTGCTCAGCGTCGAGGCCACCTGTCCACTGTGCAGCAGCGCCATTGACGTCGCCCAGGTGAAGAGTGTCCTCGCTCTCAGTGACCTTTACCGTTGATGCAATATTATCATTCTTATAAATCACCGTGATTTTTACTTGGTCGGAATTGGAAGGTGCGAGGCAAACAGTGTGATTCTTTATTAAATTGTTCGGTGTTGTTGCTGTTGTTGTTTGTGTTTTTGTTCCGTTTACTTACTTACTGTTTCGAGTGTGTTTTAGGAATGTGTTTGTGTGTGTTTGCTTACTTTTTTCCCATCATTTGTAACAGTTGTGCAAGCTTACAATCGAAATTATTTGCTCATTTTTGCCTAATACTTTTCTTCCCCACATTTACACCACATTTCTGAGCATAAGTGCTGAAAGTAATGAAAACTCATTTGCATTAGAGAGATAGGAAATGGGCCCTTTTCGTAGCATGTAAGAAGAAATCTGTTAGTTGGTGCCCATCATCAGAGAGAAGAATGTAAAGAACATTGAAAACGGACATGCACAGGAAAACAATAATAACGGCAACCGTACAGTAGTAATTGTGCAGTGTGCATATTTAGACTCTCTGAAAACTGACTGCAAAAAAGCTTAAAAACGACCAGCAAAGTGACCATCAAAAGGAAGTACAAGAAACAAATGACGGCGTGTAAATAATAACGAAAAGAAGAGAAGAGGACAACATCACCACCAACTTTAGTGCAATTGAGCAATTTGTGTGCAAAAAATGTTGAAAAACATTGATAAAAAATTTTTTGAGCAAAACGAAACAATGGTATTCCACAACCACACAAACAAACACATTAAAAGCCGAAAAACACTAGTAAGTCATTACGAGCAATGCAAATATAAATATGAGGAAAAAATGAGTTAAATAAAAATGGGCACCTAAAAGTGAGACCAGTGAAACCAGAAAGAGAGACTGACAGCTAATCTAAACAATCAGACAGATGCCAGAAAAAGAAAAGAGAAAGGACTAAGGCAAAAGCAGAAAAAGTAAGCAAACGAGAAAAAAATTTGGTGTGTTTTGAGCAAGAGAAGAAAAATAGGAAGAGGAAGCAGATCAGGCTCGCCAAACGAAAAGTGGAAAAGAAATCGACGGGAGGACGTGTCTTCAACAATGTATAAAATAATAAAAACGACGGGACCAGTGAGCTCGAGATATTATTTTTGGTAATATTACTATAAACAGAGGAGAGACGAGTATTTATTCGGCGGGATGATAGACGCATCAATCACCAGCATGGACAGTGAAAGAAAGCTAGAGCGCATCAAAGGGAAAAATTAGAGTGAAAAAAGAGTGAAAAAGGAAAGGCACCATGGATTCTTTATCCAGTGCTCCCTTTTTCACTCTAACCAGACACACAAACACATCAAAAAAGAAGGAGAGGAAATAGAAATAGAAATGTAATGTAAACTGAGATAGATAACAGAGAGAAAGAAGGGAAGGAACATCATAGTAAAACATCATCATAGCAAAATTGTTCCTCTGTACACTTGCTACACTACAACTACTACGGCTACTACTGCCTTCTTCTTCACTAGCACAGAAAGGGCGAGCGACACATAGAAAGAAAGAAAAGAAGAGTGAAAAAAGGTGTTGGTTGTCCGGTGACGG